GATCTGGAGCAGAAGACTGAAAAAGCTGAAGTTCTTTTTGGCTGACAAGAAAAACCTGGTAGGTTTGCACTAAATGGTATCCTTTCAAATTTCCCTGGGGGAGGGTCTGGGCCTGTGACTACAGAACCCTGAGAAAGGAAACAATTAGCAGACATCTCAGGGTGGGGATGGTTTGTTTTAAGCGACAGTTGTGTGGCAAAATGATGCAAACTGTGACTTGCAAAGTTTATTTCTTACACCCTGCTTCCTTTTCAAAGCAGTAAGAGCTGAAGGGTGGGGAAAGGAGGGGTGGAAGAAGTTTGGGTTCTCTGGAGCTGATGATCTGCAAATGGTCCTGATGGCTCAGAGATCTGAGCCTCACAGAGATGCTGTTATGTGTTCTTCCTGGGAAGCAAGAGAATAAAGGAAGGGAAACTTGGGGAACTGCACTGGATCTGTTGGAGGATTTCTGGGAACCTGAAGATGTGAGATCTGCACCCTCATTAGATTTGGTGTAGTTAGCTGATTGATGAATAGGGTAATCTTTCAAACAAAACCCCAGGCTGTGGGTTTTGGGTATTTCCCTGAAGAGGAGATCAGTGAATGCCTGTTTGGCTCTGCCAAGGGAGCAAACCAGACCTGATCAGTGGAAGCAGGCTGGAGATGGAATGTGGTTAAAGGGGCTTTTCTCCCTCAGCAGTGAAATCTACTGAGAACTTCTTTTAGTGGTAGAGCTTTAACTGTGTTTTCTGTAGATGTGCTGTGACACAATCAGTGCTGCTGGCCTTGGTGTGGAACATGGTGCATGGTAGAAGAGGAGATAAGCCACTGGCTGTGGGATTTTATGGGTTTTTTTGATGCCAAGCAGTTTATTCCTCCTCAGGATACAACAAAACTCTTTTCTTACCTTTGGGATCTGAGTGAGTGTAGGTGCTCTCATAGTCAGAGACCACAGATGACTGGCCAGTCCCATGGTGTAACCTCTGTAATGGTCTTAGAGGGACAGCAGCACATTTTGGACTGAAATTCAATATCTTTGGAACATGCTTGCCCTGAAGGACATTTCCAAAGTTCTAATGCAAGTCTATAATGGTGCCTCAGTGACTCCCCTTATTAAACTTATCTGGGTATAAACCTCATCAGGGGCTCCCATGATAAAGGCCATGTCTTCATAAAACCCAAAAATGTCATAAAAGCTTTGCCCTCATAAACCCCACCCACCTCATAACAGTGCAGGCCTCATAAAGCCCCTGTCGTGATAAGGCCCATAAACCTCCTCATGGGGCTGTCATCATAAAGGAGATGTTCTCATAAATGCCACAAACCTCATAAAGGTTTTGTCCTCATAAAGCCTGTGCACCTCAGAGGGGCAAACATCATAAAGGCTCTGCCCTCATAAACACCAAAAATGTCATAAAAGCACTGTCCTCATACACCCCACACATCTCATGACAGAGCTCTCATCATAAAAGATCTCTCTGCATAAAGCCCATGCAGGTCATAAAGGTGCTGTCCTCAGAAAGCCCATACACCTCCTAAGAGGCTCTCCTTATAAAGGCCATGTCCTCATAAACCCCAAACACGTTGCTGCCTAAAAACCTGCAGAGGAAAAAGGACTCCAGGCCCAAATCTCGCCGTGAGCTTTGAGCGGCTGCAACTACAACTCCCGGCGTGCCCCGCGCGGCAAAGGGGGCGGGGCGGGGTCTCTGCCGGCGGGGCGCGCGCACAGCCCCGCGGTGGCTGCCGGGAA